CTTTTTAAATTTTATATCCAATAGGCTTGTTATTCAGGTTTATTTTTAAATAACTTTCATGTACTATTTATCCAATAAATGCGCTATATATACTATTGATATATAAGCTGAAATAAATTTATTAGATTACTTATGTTGAAAATGAGGAATAGAAGACTAAGGCATTATTTTGTGATCAGCTTACTAATTTTTTGTTGATTTAATTAAGCCTGTTTTATTTTTTCCCTGCTAATAGCTACAAGTGTATTCATCAGAGTTTGGAGGACAATAATAGATGTCCCAAGTGTAACTATGTTGTGGACAATATTGACCATCTATATCCTAATTTCTTGGGTGAGTCTTTGGAATGATTTTTATTTTTTTTTTTAAATATCCTATCTTCAAAAGTATCTGCTAGCACTAATTTATTCAGAAAACCTAGTTTAGAGGTTAGCAAGTCTCTCTCTACTACTTAGCACAGTGCTTCTCTTCCTGGGTTGTGGCATAGATTTCATACATTGTTAGCACAATATCATATTATTTTTAAGTTTCATTTAAAAAAAATTGACACGACTTTTAGATTGTTATGTAGATGTCTGGACAGGATGTGAGGCTTAACAAAAATGCCATAGGCTCAGAATACCTTTCCCTTTCTCTATGTAGTATTATGCATTCTACTGCTTCTGCTTTGGGGGCAGAAGTGAGAAGTAACAGAGGAAAGAGTCAGTGGGGAGCGGGAACCCATGTTTGGTGAATGTTGAGAGAAAGGGGGGAAAAAAACTTGGGTATGATGATTCCTGGGTAGGGGAAGAAAGTCTATGAACTGATGAGGCAATTGAAAAGTAAGAACTCGGGGAAGGAAGACATGGATATAGAGCTTATAAGAGAGAAATGGTAAGAACTCGAGAAGAGACATGAATGTGGAACCCATAAGTATAAATGGTAAATGGGAATAATATCTGATCAGAGGCCAGTTGTGAACCAGCCTAAGATAGTGTAGGAAACCTTTAGTCTGAGTGTTTTGTGAATGAATAATAAACCAAAGATTAATTTTCAGATATTGGTAGGCATCAAGTAGGACACTATTGGGTATGTACATCAAAAAAGTTAATTCTTCATTCTAAACACTAATATGCTCCAAGTTAAGGTGTGGTAACTACCCGTGTATAATATTCTGACTTGCCATTGCTTTGGTTGTAATTTGCTTAGCTCAAATGGTGGTTTATAATAAATCATGAATCTGTATTTTTTCAGCTGTGGCTTTCCTTTTTACCTCTAAACATACACTAGCTACCATCCTTTTTTCTCGGTTACTCTTCAGTACAATCCAGTGTTTTTTCATTAAGGAAAATCACTGGATGACTGTACAGCAGAAAGGATCCCTGCTGGAAATATTTTCAGGATTTTCTGCTAGAACGTCAAATTCTTCTGAGTAGATAAAATCTTACGGCAAACTTGGAGAAGGAACTTGGGAAAAGCACAAAGA